GCATAACCCATTAAGTTGTCTTCCTTGTCCAACATAATCTATTTGATCAAGCATATAATATTTGATGAGGGCTCACAACCATAATTGATGTCCAAGATAGTATATTTATACGTGAATCCTCTCTTCCTTTATTTGTTTCTCATGAATTGCATCAGTGACCAATGCTACGTTTGTTAACTTCCAACAAAATTTATCAGTTATACTTCTTTTATGTAAAGTCATTACTCCCCATGGGATTATCATATGATCTTTTTATTCTTCTCATTGCTAAGATTGAAATAAGAAAGCATCACAACTTAAACTACTCTTTCTTATATAACTCTCACACTCGATTACATAGATAGATCATGAAACAAGCACTCGAAACTAAATCATACTAAAACTTTATTCTTCTAAATCTTGAAATAACCAAGGATCGAACTATAATAGGTAATGATGATAAAAGTGATGGTGATACAATATCGGGAAACCTCGCCCAATCTTGGAACAAGCCAAGGGTGGTGCCCATACGCGTGTACTCAAGTGTCTCTCTTTGATAATGATGTGATGAGGGCTCACAATCAAATAACCAAGGCTTGTTCTCCATGATATTACCAAGATCTCCTTTAAATTCTGAATTTCTCGGAGCACTTGCTGAATCATCTCAGCATCCTTTGGACTTCAGTCATAATGTGCTTATTCTCTGGCCCACAAGCATTCTTTCCTGCATCACTTTCACTTGGACGGGAGATGTCCCAATTGGGAGGTATGTGCAACGTCCAGGTGTAATATACTCTCTGAATACCCTAAGCCTTATGATCCTAATTATTTGATTGTGAAATTCTTTTATGGAGACTTTATCAGAAAAGTAAGCAGGCGTTGGATATTGCCTCCCTAGGATCCTTTATGGGTACTAATATTTCCCAATGTTTTACCTTTTGAGGAGGATGAATCATCGTCGCCTGAAAGAACCTCCTAGGTCCTCTTCCCACCTTGGCCTCACCGGACAACTCCTGCTATGCATCGGCACTGGCTCCAGACCCTGAGCTTTGTTGACTTCCAATAGGGAGTTCTGGGACATTGTCTCGAATGACTAGGCCATTTGGGCTTTGGTCTCCCTCGTATCGTTTGTCTTCTTGGGCTTGGCCGGGACCACATAGGGGTGCACCGTCAACAACTTCACCAGCTTGACACTCACATGCCCCCCAAGCTGAGGAGCCGGTGACCTGCCAGATTTCGTGAAGGTGTGCGAATCCGGAATGTGATGACCAGAATTTGATCAGTTGGCCAAGGTTGACGAAATGGAAAAATGAAAAACTGACCCTGGTGGCTCAGTGCGCTTCACTGTAGCCGATGTCATCCCCCTTCGCTAGTAAGGGCTGCTGGCTCTTGGTCTTGAAGAGGAGGGCATGCATGCCGCCGATGTCCTTCCCCCTTTGGAAACCTCGGATGACCAAGGTGCCGCTTGGGATAGATTTCCAAAGGGGGGAAGCTGAAGCTTGGAGGGGTTAAACACCGTGATGCAGCATGGCATGTACCACATCAGTAAGAGTGACACCCTCGCTAATTCAAAATTTCACCTGAGCTCGGAGAGCCTCAACCTCTTCCTCTTCCCCAAGTGAGGTCCTTGGAAGTCCAGGAATTTAGCCGCTCCAGGGGCGCGACCGAGAAAGTAAGGACTCCTTCCCGGTTCTCTGATGACACATAGGACATATAGAATTATTCCTCTTGCCACAACTTGACAGTCTCGGTGAACTTCCTGGCTGGGTAGCTATTTGACCCCATGGATATTGCTGACCATGGACCCTCCGCACTCCATGAGTTGGCCCTCGTTGGTCTGCGGTTTGGTGTAGAACAACTAGAGCCAAAGCCCAAAGTAGGGCTCGATGCAGACAAAGGCCTCACAAAAGATGATTTTGGAGATGATGTGGAGGATGGAATTGGGGGCAAGATGATGAAACTGCGTGCCATGGAAATACAGGAGACCTCGATGGAATGGATGGATAGGGAATCCCAGACCATCGATAAGATGTGGGATGAAGACAACGCGTTCATTCTCCCGGGGCTCAGGAACACACGTGGTAGAATGGGTTGCCCCTCCGGAAGAGTGGGGAATTGCACCGCATGTAGTCAGGTGACAGAAGATACCGGAGCACATGTAGCTCGGCGATGTCTCCGACGATAATGATGAAAGGAAGCCACATACCCCTCTTGCTCACCACTTTCTCGACCTCGACAACTGCCTCCTGATTTCTGGTGGCAGCATTCGGCTCACCCTTGGAGGCAAGAATGGATCGAAAGGTTTGGCTAGGCTCTGTCCTCCGGGAGCTGGAGCTTGGGGATGACGAGAGCAAGACCGAGAGGAATGGCGTGAAAATGGATTGATTTCACCGTGTACCTTTTATAAGTCGGCAAAAACAACGAAGGGGCGTGCCAGCAATTTCACAAGTTCCCAATGCGATGTGGCTTACGTCGCGAATCAAGGGGATTGCTGATGATTGATGTCGCTTGAAGCTACGTCGGTATTTCCCCAAAAAGGAAGGGATGATGCAGCACGGCGGCGGTAGGTATTTCCCTCGGATGTGAAACCAAGGTTATCGAACCAGTAGGAGAACCAAGCAACACAACGTAAACAACACCTGCACACAAATAACAACTTCTCGCATCCTGACGTGTTAAAGGGTTGTCAATCCCTTCCGGGGTACGGCGCCTCAAGATAGGCAAACGGACATGAGGTAAATTTCTAGTAGATTGATAGATCGAACGCCAAATAAATAAATAAGAATAAATTGCAGCAAAGTATTTTTGGGTTTTTGGTTTAATAGATCTAAAAATAAATGCAAGAGAAAAGTAGTTCACAAAGGCAAATATATGGGAAGAAAGACCCGGGGCCATAGGTTTCACTAGTCGCTTCTCTCGAGAAAAATAGCAAACGGCGGGTAAACAAATTACTGTTGGGCAATTGACAGAACTTCAAATAATTATGACAATATCCATGCAATGATCATTATATAGGCATCACGCCCAAGATTAGTAGACCGACTCCTGCCTGCATCTACTATTACTCCACACATCGACCGCTATCCAGCATGCATCTAGTGTATTAAGTTCATGAAGAAACGAAGTAATGCAATAAGAACGATGACATGATGTAGATAAGATCTATCTACGTAGAGATAGACCCATCGTTTTATCCTTAGTAGCAACGATACATACGTGTCTTTTCCCTTTCTGTCACTGGGATCAAGCACCGTAAGATCGAACCCACTACAAAGCACCTCTTCTCATTGCAATATAAATAGATCAAGTTGGCCAAACAAAACCCAAATATCGGAGGAGAAATGCGAGGCTATAAACAATCATGCATATAAGATATCAAAGAAACTCAAATAACTTTCATGGATAGAAAAAGATAGATCTAATCATAAACTCAAAGTTCATTGATCCCAACAAACACACCGCAAAAGAGTTACATCATCATATGGATCTCCAAGAGACCATTGTATTGAGAATCAAGATAGAGAGATGAAGCCATCTGGCTACTAACTACGGACCCGAAGGTCTACAAAGAACTACTCACGCATCATCGGAGAGGCACCAATGGAGGTGGTGAACCCCATCCGAGATGGCGTCTAGATTGGATCTGGTGGTTCTGGACTCTGCGGCGGATGGATGAATATTTCGTCGATGCCTCTAGGGTTTCTGGAATATTGGGGTATTTATAGAGCAAAGAGGCGGTCCGAGGGGCACCCGAGGTGGGCACAACCCACCAGGGCGCGCCTGGGCCTTCTGGCGCGCCCTGGTGGGTTGTGCCCCCCTCGGGGCACCCCCAGGCGCAGCCAGGGCCCGTTGTGTTCCTTCTGGCCCATAAAAATTCTCTGTAAAGTTTTGGGGCATTTGGACTCCGTCTGATATTGATTTTCTGCGATTTAAAAAACATGGAAAAAACAATAACTGGCACTTGGCACTATGTCAATAGGTTAGTACCCAAAAATGATATAAATTGACTATAAAATGATTATAAAACATCCAAGATTGATAATATAACAGCATGGAACAATTAAAAATTATAGATACGTTGGGGATGTATCAATGATGCCCCTGAAAATCCATGGCACTATCTCTTCATTGACAAGACGTGCCAATAGCAACGGCCTCGAGCTGTGTTAACACGGCATAATGACTATTGAAGGGACCTTTCAGATCTGCAGTACGTTGTGGCGTTTCGGGTTCGGTCAAAGTTGTCGGAACATGACAAAATCGGAGCCTCCATCCTAGCATGGGAAGACCTCGCCGTTATCAGGGCGCTGTACTTTGTACCCCACTCATCAATAAAGCACAAGCAGAACGTAGTGTTTTACCTCTTCGAGAGGGCCCAGACCATGGTAAACATCAATTCTCCTCTGTGTCCTGTTACCATCATGCCAATGCTACCAGCTCGGGGCCCCCTACCGAAATCTGCCGGATTTGACTCCATCACCATGGTGCCGTAGTTTGGTTCTGCTCGTATGCATATGCGGCAGTAGTCACCGACTTTAATTTAATGCATCTCCTTAGTGCTTGATTTAAATCACATGCTCTTACACCATGTATTGATCACTTTCGGCTAAAAAATTTCAGCCACCACTGTTCCCTTGATTCTATTTCTATGCTTTTGGTTGGTTTTTTAGCTTCTCTTTTCTTTCGGTTATATATTTGTTTCTGTTTTCTTTTGTGTCTTCATTCAAAAATATTCAGGAATGCGAAAAATGTTCGGGGATGTTACACCTAGGTTCCTTTATATTTACATGACCAACAAATTAAGGGGTCAGAAGCAAATGTACGTGACACGATGGAAGACCGCGCTAGTGGAAGCTCACATGCACCATGGCTGACGGACACCAATGGTTCATTTGCTACAACTTGCGCTGATCTACTTCTAGTGAACGTGGAAGACCAAGGGCCTCTCGTTCCACCTCACGGGGGAAGCTGAAGCTGTGAAGCGGCGCGGCACTAGCTGCTGAGTCCTCGAGCAGCAACGTTCACAGCAAGCTGTCCAGAAAGTTCCAGTCGATGCCGGTTGCGGCCTGTCCCTGCTGGACGACGTCATAGCCAGCGTCGCCGCAACCAGCAACGGCGGTGGTTGTCGGCGGGCTCTCGATGTGCTGCGGGATGTTGCTGAAGATGCTCTGCTTGCTATCCAGTGGGTCATAGGAGGAGTGCTGGGTACCCTGGCCGGGGAAGCCGAAGCCGCCGCCTTGGTCGTGCAGCAAGGACCGCGCGTCGTAGTAGTCACCAAGACCTGGAGCCGCGGAGTATGCGGGGAAGATGTAGGATGGCCTCTGGTTTGGGGTCGGCTTCTGGAACGCCCGGCACACCACCCAACCTTCCTCCTGATTCATCACAATGATCATAATCATCAACGCTAAATTCTCAACAAGAAATGGAACAAGAAGGAAAAGAAGCGGTGGAGATGGAGGATAAAGAGGAATTGCATACCTGTGTGGGCGCGTGCTCGCTTGTCTGGAGGCGGTACTCATGGATGATCCAGTCGGTTTTCCTACCGTTGGGTGCCCGCCCCCTGTAGAAGACGAGCGTCTTCCTCATGCCGATCACGCCACGGCTCCGCGACGACATCACCGGCTTGTCCCTGCCGGTGGCCTTCCAGAACCCGGCCGCCGTGGCGCGGTTGGTGCGCGTGCCGCTGGGGTACTTGCGGTCCTTGAAGGTGAAGAAGTACCACCCCGACGACGACTGGTCCTGCTGATCCGGCTGTCCTCCGCCTCCACCCCTGCCGCCGCCGCACCTCTCTGCGCCATCGACAATTGAAGCAACACCACTGTTAATTTAGTAACTTAAATCGATAGAACGCCATGCATATACAAATTCCAAGATCAGCTGCCAAAATTTGTTCGTACCTTGGAGGTCCCATGGCTCTATCCGGTAGAAATCCACCTCCGGGATGATGTCGAGGTCGATCTTCTGGGCGGCCACCTTCTGGGCCAAGTAGTACCCCACCAGCTCCTCCTCCGTTGGGTGGAACCTGAACCCCGGCGGAACGCACGACACCTCCTGATGCTGGTGGACCATTGCTAGCATCTATTTTCCTGGTACGTGGCTGGCAGCTAGCTCTCTTGTGAACTGAAATGAAGCACATAACATTTTCAACTTTTTACTACTGAGTACTGACAGAACCTAACTGTGTGAAGAGAGGAGAAACAATGGCGCGTGTGAACCATACAAGAAGAAGATCTTCATAGATAGCTAGAGATGTCGAGAAGCATCATGGCTGTTTGGTGCACTCGTGCAATATTGCAATGAGAGGTGGTGACCTCAGACACTTGACAGCAGAGCGGAGCACATGTATGTATGCGCACGCTCATATGAACTGCTATTTATATTGTAATCTAGCTCCAGCAGCCTATGTAGCCCACACCAAATCTGTATATCTATCTACTATAAGTGCAACACAATCATGTCCTGGATCTATTTTCTGAGGACAAAGTACACTTGTAATCTATGCTGATTGTAAGCACTTGGTCTGTAATCTACCTAGCTTGCAATGTAGAGTGGGAATGGAAGACGATAGAAGAGAAAGGGGGATGAAAAGGATCTCTAGTGCATGCTGCCTATAGCAGCTGTGAGAGTGAAGCTTTCAGGCGCATGAATGCACAGGCCAGCATGTTTCTTTGAGTGCACTTCATGATTAGTCTCCTCCTCCCT